CTGGGGTGCCTGGCCAGCCTGGATGAGGGGATGATGGCTGTTTGCAGCTGGTCACACCCCCTTCAGGGTGGGGGTCCCCACTGGGGTGTCTGGCCAGTCTGGATGAGGGGCTGAGGGCTGTTTTCAGGCTGGACAAGCCCCCCCATGATGGAAGCTCCCAGCCTCTCCTTTTTTTCTTTTTTTTTTAATTCTGAGATTTATTTACCTTCTATAATTTAAACTTTGTTGCCTTCAGTGGAGCTGAGAGCTGGCTCCTGCTTGCTCCAGCTCCATGGCCACGGCCGGCTGAAAGCAGGTATCTGGAGTTATTTTCCTTCTATAATTGAAACTTCGTTGCCTTGAGTGGAACTCAGAGCCAGCTGTGGCAGGTGGGAAGCTCGGCTTCCTCCATCACTGAAGCAACCAAGCCTCCTGCTTGCTCCAGCTCTGTGGCTGCCAGCCGCCATCGTGGTTGGGTTAATTTGCATATAGTTGCTCTGATTGGCTGGTGGGTGTGGCTTAAGGCATAGTGAAGGTACGGTCAATTTGCATGTTTGTCTTTTATTATATTAGATATATGTTTAATTTTAGGATAAAAATTATTCTGATACCAACCTGTAGTGTTTTTATAGAGGATTAACAATTAATTTATTTTTCATAGGTGCTATACCTGGACCAATAGTTTTTAATAAGCTAGTAGAAAATTCTTGTACCTTTCGGGATAGTGGACACTGTGGAAACACAGAAAGTTGTTGGATCTATAACGTGAAAAAAATGGCCTACCTATATTTAGGAATGTGTAAGTAATATCTATTGAAGAAATGTAAAGAGGTAAAGTTATTTTAAAACCTTATGGTTGTTTAAAGTAAAGTACAGTAATAATAAACAATGAACAAATGGATACTTTGATGATTAAAGAAGCCTTATATTATTACATAGGAAATATTTTGGAAACTAAAGTACTATAGAATTTATGTAAACATTTGGGTCACTACATTAAATGCACTGTTTCATGTTATTCCTGAGTAAAGGGTGGTGATTATCAGAATTTTAATTTGGGGAGTAATTTTGCCTGTATACACATCTAACCAAGTTATTTGACCTTGTGACCCTTTCCCTTTCCACAATAAAAGATTGATTAAAAAAAATTTTTTTTTGCACTACTAAAGAGCATCAATGTACTCTTACCCCACTTAAATGTAAATTTCATATTGTCTCATACTCAATGACATAACAGTGCTTGGCAAATAGCAAGCATTCAGTAATGATTGAACAAATAAGAGATATAGGGAATTGAGATCCTATGGTGGTGTGAGCTATGGGCAAAATGTTGGGAAAGTATAGATATGCTTGTATTACTTTGGAAACTTCACTAGATCTTCCTGTATTTCACTGTTTTCATCTGTAAAAGGAGGGTTTAGACTACATAATTTCTGAAGTCTTTTTTTTTTAATTTTATTATTTATTTATTTATTTATTTATTTATTTGCTTAAAGTATTACAAAGGGTATTACATATGTGTTCTGTTTTTTCCCCGCCCTTGACAATCCCCTGGCTTCCCCTACCCCCCAGTGTCTTATGTCCATTGGTTATG